AATGGATGACCCCTTTCTTATCTTCCTACTGCTCTAGCCTTCTAGCAGATTGCTAGGGCTGAGTCCTTAAAACCCATGTATCACAATGGGCATGGTGGTGCACACCTGTAATCTCAGCATTCTGGGAGGCTGAGGCAGGGGGATCACAAGTTCAAGCCCAGCCTAGGCAATCCAGTGACTTAGCAAGACCTTGCCTCAAGATAAAATACAGAAAAAAGGGCTGAGAGTGTAGCTCAGTGCAAAGGCCCTACGGCAGTGATGGTGAACCTTTTAGAGCTTTCAATGATACAAACAGCAAACAGCCTGCCGTGGCACACGTGCCATAGGTTCACCACCACTGCCCTGGGTCCATTCTCCAGTGTCCAGGTCTCCCGGCATCCCCCCACGTGCCAGATATGTAACTGCCTTAACTACATTACGACCCCTTTTAGAGCTCACAAACCCCCCACGCAGTAGGTATGTCTATTATCCCTATTTTACAGATAAGGAAGTAAATTCAGCAAGGTCAAGTGCTTGCTCTTGATTCAAACACACCAACTAAGCATCTTTTTTTTTTTTTTTTTTTAAATTTCTATTCCTTGCTGTAAGTTCTAATGTGCAATTCCTATGCAATCATCCTTCGTAAGCATCTTGATAAACCAAACTAATCAGAATGGAACTCTGGTAGAAGGCTGTGGCCCAGAGGGTATGGCAGCTCACCATAAGCAAGTTAAAAGGCAGAACAGACAAAAAAGCGCAAAGCAGCCATCTGCTCAATACCCCCAGGCCAGCCGGGCATGGTGGCGCACACCTGTAATCCCAGCACTTGCGAGGCTGAGGCAGGAGGATCGCTGCAAGTTTGAGACCAGCCTGGGCTACACAGTGAGTTCCAGAGCAGTCTGAACTACATAGACCCTGTCTCAAAACAACAACAACAACAAAAAAAAAAAAAACCAAAAAACAAACAAAAAAGAAGACCCCAGGCCAAGCTTTTTTACACAGCTGATACCACAGTGCTTCCCCACAGCCAAAAAGGTTAAACTTGTGATTTAAGAATGACATTTGCAGATTAGAGGCCGAAGTTGAAGGTAAATCTCCAACTAGTCTCACGTTTGGAAGTTAATGGAAGACTCCAAATGGTGGATGGAGCCTGTCTTTTAGGTGTCTGCACAGTTATTTGACGTCTCAAATAACTGCAAAGTGAAGATCAGGCAGACTCAACAAAGCTCCCTATGCAAACGGCAGGTCTCAAGGATTAATTTACATTTATTTGCTGATAACTCTGATCAAATGCACTTCAAACACAGCAGAAGTTAAACAGTCTGTCAGGTGGAGCCATTTCTTGCCAACAGCTACAGGTGGCCTGTGCCAGCTGTGAAGAGCAGCACAGGACTCATCTTTGGGCTGAGCCCCCTGGTCTGCACGAACAGCTAGCAGGTGGACCTGGTCCTTCTGGCCCCGGGGAGGCGAGGAACTACTCCTTGTTCTCGTACTTGTGCTTGATGTGTTTCCACAGCTTCTGCATTTAAAAGAAAAGAGCCACAAACTGTAACCTTTGCTCTCACATTTTACAACTACTCCCACTGCTCAACTAAAACAAGCTTCTAAGAAGCCAGTACCATGTTCTGATTAAAACCGCACAGCTGTGGCAGGCAGGATAGAAGCAACGTTAGGCTTGACACAAAGTTCTAAACATTTACAACATACTGTGATGTTCTCAATCATTATGTGAAGTACATACGAACAGACAAGCCTACTGCTACAGGAAATTAAAGCAGAGGTTAAGAGAATGGCCCCAAACACAATAATTGAGGGCTTGGAAGACGTCTTGATTTTTTTTTTTTTTTCGGTTTTTTGAGACAGGGTCTCACTATGTAGTTGAGACTAACCTGGAACTCACTATGTAGCCCAGGCCGGACTGGAACTCACAGCGATCCTCCTGCCTCAGGCATTGCAACACCTTATCTGTATTCCCTGAGAAAGCTACTATTATGGTCTCTATTTCACAGTTAAAACTGAAGCTCAGAGGAGAAATATAACATAATGCCATGGTTATTAAGTGACAAGGCCTACTATTCCCAGGCAGGGCCTTTGATTTCAAAGCCCCCAACCATTAATATCATGCTGCCTAGAGGTCTGGTAGCACACATCTGTAATCCCAGCACTTGGCACTTGGTAGGCTAAGGCACGAGGATTGCTGAGTTCAAGGCCAGCCTGGCTACAACACAGTGAGTTCATGGTTAGCCTGAATTACAGAATTAAACCGAAACAAAACAAAAACTGCCTGCGAGGTAAGACTTCAGAACTGAAAGAATAGGGCTTTTTTTTGTTTTTGTTTTTTGAGACAGGGTCTCGCTATGTAGTTCAGGCTGGCATTGAACTCACTATGTAGCCCAGCCTGGTCTGGAACTCACAGCGATCCTCCTGCCTCAGCCTCCCAAGTGCTGGGATCAAAGGGGTGCGTCCCCACGCCCAGCTTGAAAGAGAAATTTTAAAAGGTCAGCACGGCGCCTTAGGAGATGTCCTTTTCATGACTCTCGCCGGCTCAAATCTGCCCTTACACTCTCAGAGGAGACAAGGGTCAAAGTTCCAGCCCTCAGACTTAATAAGTCTTTTGCTCTCAAGCTTTAGTTTTCGCTTCTGCGAATGAGCAAAGTAGGGTTGTGGGGTTCAAATATCAATACCCCTGCAAATATGGCATATTTTAAAAAAACGTTTAAAGATTCACAGTAGGTCGAGGACAGATGGCAGTCTCCAGACAGAAGACGCCCACGGTTTTTACCCTCTTCCAGGCAAAGGTACACTGAGTCCCGTCCCATTTTCACTCCCACTGTCAGCTCTTAAGCAGGCCCAAGGTCAGGATTGGCCCAGGCCCTCACCCCGTCGTTAATATGCTCGTAGATCCCGTCTGCGCCTTGGTCGAAGGCGCGCTCGAAAAACACGGCTCCCAAGGCAATGGTGAGGGCGAAGGTAGAAGTTCTGCGAAACAGCAGGGAGTACAAGCGCGAAGCGATGGTCGGGCCAGCCATGTTTCCTCACCGCAGATCTTCTGCCACCACGCCAGCACCGAGGCCACCTCAGTCTCCAAATGAATTTACGTGCAGTGCCTTATGGGATTGGTGGTTTTTTTGGACCACAGAGGTCATCATTTTGAACCCCTCAGGTAACGGCTGGATGATCAGGAGTGGAATAAAAATCCCATTAGATTCAAAACCTTACAGCCCAAGTGTTTTAAGTTTTATTATCCACTTTTCTTCTCAATGATATCTTGCTTTGACTAGTTGAACTACAACTCCCAGAAGGCCTCGCGCTCCCCCACCAATTCCCCGCACTGTTTCAATTTAGCTTCCCAAAGCTTTCTGGGAAGGTTGGGTGGTACCCAACTACGAATCCCAGCAAGCAGTGCGCGACGCAAGGACGCAAGAGGAGGAGCCTGCAGTTGTCCAGCCCCGCGGAGCCAGGTAGCTTCCTTGGAGGGACGTCTGGGGGAGAATTCTCCTTCCACTTATGGGAAAGCTCGGGCTCTGCCTTCTAATTTTGTGCGTTCCGTCAGTTCCTGGTTTGGGGAATGGAAGGTGGAAGGGTATCTGGCTTTCTAGCAGATCCCCAGCTCCTGTCTCGTCCCTTTTCTCTGCCCGGAGTACAGGCCTGGAGCTGACAAAAGTGGGTCCTCGGGGGATGTACTGTCTGCGCTTCCTGTTTCCCACACCTCCAGGCTTCGAAGTCAAGAACCTTGGCTTAGCAGACAGGCGACCTGGGACCACTCATTCCTTCTTGTTTTGTTTTTTTAAGTAGGGTCTCGCTTTGTAGTCCCGGCTGACCTCGAATTCACAGTGATCCTCCTGCCTCAGCCTCCGGAGTGCTGGGATTACAGGCCTGCGCCGCCATGCTCAGAACCTCGTTTGTTTGAGAGTAGGAAGAGCGAAGGCTTTCCATAAATGTTTACCTAGTGCCTAATATTGTCCCTGTCAGGTCCCTAGCAGTGAAAAATACAATCGTAAAGCTATCCATCTACTGTATATGAGTGAAAAGTTGGGGGAGGAGGTGGGAGCGAGGGAATCCTATGGTTCTACACACCAGTAGTGCTTTATGTTCTTTTTTTTTCCGGCAACGGGGATCAAACTCGGGTTCTTGAGCTTGCGAGGCAGGAGCCAGAACCACTGAGCTAAATCCCGGTCTTGCCAGTCGTGCTTTAAAGAGCAGAAGACTAGCTGGTCATGGTGGCGCATGCCTGTGATCCCGGCACTTGGGAGGTTGAGGCAAGAGGATCAATGTCAGATGGAGGCCAGCTTGCTTGCTGAGGACATGATGGTGCTGTTTTGTTTTTTGTTTTTGTTTGTTGGGATGAGGGCAGAGCTTTCTTTCTTCTTTTTCATTTGGCTCTTGAGATAGGATCTCACTATGTAATTCACACTGGCCTTAAACTCACTGTATAGCGACTCAAACTTACAGCAGTCCTCCTGCCTCAGCCTCCTGAGTGTTAGGAGCACAGGTGTGCGCCACCACACCTGGCTGGTGGTGCTGTTTTAGCCTGGGTGGCTGTTCAGAGGATAACACTTGGCTAGTGACCTGAGTGATTACAGTAACCTGGCAAACAGGAAGTCGTGGGTACGAAGGTACTGAGGTGGCTACATTCCTGGGATGTCTAAGGGCAAGTAGAGTGGACTGTGAGAAGACAGGCTGGGATCAGCTCCGGTCTGGCCTTGTAACCCACAGTAAGGAGTCTATTTATTTTATTTTTTTCCCCCTGTAACTGTCCTAGGAAGCCACTGAAGGGTTTTAAACTGGGATGTGACAAGATGTCATTTCAGTGTCATCCTCTGGGCTGTTCTCCGGAGAATGGGCTGAAGTGGAGAAGTCGCTGAGGGAGATCGGTTGAAAGAAGACAGTGGTTCCGATGAGGATGTGGATGAGGGCAGTGATCGGATTCGAGATGTATCTTGGGAGGTGGGGGCCGGCAGAACAAGTTGGCGGGTGTGTGAGGTGTGTGCTGCAGAGGAGGATCGAGAACATCTTGAGTTTTGAGCTGAGCAGCAAAATCAGCAGGAATGGTCTTAGTTCTGTTTTGGCCACGTTCAGTTTGAGCTGCAGTGGAGATAATGTCCGAGTCCAATGAGAACGTGGCTTCGGAGTTTAGGAGAGGGCTGAGCCTGAGAGTCATCAGGCAAGGGTGACACTGAAGACCAGGTACTGGACTCCAGGCCTGGCTCTACCTCTGTGTGACCTTGATCAGGTCCAGACCCTCTGCTTTCTGTTTTTATTCACCTGTAAAGAGCAGGAGCAATACCTAGCTAAGGGCCTAGAAAGAAAAGTAAAATGTTCTAGTTCCAGGATGTGTTGTGCTTTCTGTGGTTATTTACTGCTTGCATCCTGGTCCCTCACTGGGGCAGGAAGTTGTGAGCCTGCAAGGAATCTGCAACCATCTAATCTGGCTGTTGAGAAGGTCGGGGGAGAGAGAATCATTTCAAGTGAGGTGAGTAGGAAAGACCACAAGGAGTTAAAGGTGTAGCTTATTCTATTTCTATTTTTCTTTATTTTGTTTTTGAGACAGGGTCCTGCTATGTCGTCCAGGTTGGTCTTGAACTCACTATGTAGCCCACGCTTGCCTCGAACTCTTGGTGATCCTCCTGCCTCAGCCTCCCACAGGTGTGTGCCACCATGCCCAGCCTATTTTTTATATTTTAAATGAAAATTCTCATTGTGGAGTAACAATTTTATTATTTTTTAATTTTATTTATTTATTTTTTGGTACCAGGGATCAAACTCAGGACCTTGTACTTTTGAGGCAGACAACAGTACCACTGAGCTAAATCCCTGGCCCTGGAGTAACAATTTTAAAAACCTTATTTTCTTCAGGCTATCAATTTCAACTTGAAAGTATTATTCTATACATGAATCTATGAAAGTAGGAAAAATGACCTTACCTTTTGCTTTGATTAATATTTGAACTCAGGTTGAACAAACTAAATTCCTTTAAACATTTAGCCCTTTTTACAGCCTAACTATATTCGCTTGAACATTTTAATTCTATTTATAAATTTAATATATTTGATTTTCTTTTTAAGTACTCTAGATGCATAACCTAACAAGCACAAATTCCCCATGGATACTTAGTTACTAGAAAAATCTAATTAATTAAACAGACTGAATTTCAAGTTCTTCTAAACAGTTCAGTACTTTTTAGATGTAGTCAAATTTTCTTATGTCAGTGGCTCTTGGCTAAGGAGTTTAAAAATTGCAGGCTCCTGTTGGGGGTGTGGCTCATTGGTAGAACATTTGCTTAGATGGATAAGGTCACGTACACACACACACACAACCAGGCTCCATCTCTTACTTGAAATTAGAATATTACAGGGGGGTTTATGACCACCTGTGCCTCTGCAGTGTAGATTCAGGTACCAGCACAACCAAGAAGCCTGAGAGCATGGGGTGGAGAGGGAATGTTGCAAGGGTCCCACACAGCTGGACAGTCCTCACTGGTCTGCAATGAGGAAGGCCTCACTATGAAGAATATTACAGGGCGGTCAGGGATTTAGCTCAGCGGTTTGGTGGCCTGCCTTGCAAGCGCAAGGACCTGAGTTCAATCCCCGGTACCAAAAAAAAAAAAAAAAAAAAGAATATTACACGGGGAAGATTTTAAGGGTGGGACAGACACCCTTTAGAAATACAGCTCCCATAGGTGATTCTAATGTCCAGTCATTAGTAGCTTCTCAATCTAAACTCATCAATCTACTGTCAATTACAGAGATATTTACCAGCTACCTAATTATATGTTTTAACTTTAGTATCTTAGAATCATAATACTTCGTGTGACATATTCAGCATATCAAATTATTTTCAAAGTCACACATACTTCAAATTCCAAGAATACACTGATTATTACTAAACTCGGGATTTACCCTTCTATCTCTGTTTCCAATTCTAAACTTTCCTGTATATAAGGAGGCCCTTACTCAGTAAGAAAACAATTTTGTTGACTCTATAAATTGTGCATTGCATCAAATTGAGGTTACGTTTTGGTGAACTAAAGTTATTCATAATCAGATCAGGCTGATTGCTGACTGAGGCACGAATCCAGGCCCATGTCTTCTTGGAATTACTGTCTTCAACCCAACTGTCCCCAGCCAAGGCTGCCTTTGAGATTCAGGGGGAAGATCATTCCTCCAGGCTTTTGTTTTTTAGGGAGTACCTGTACTTCCTAGAGGATGCTACAGTCGCTACTGATTTCTGGGATCCCTGCAGGTCTCCCAAGTCATCTCCAGGATTTGACCCCGGAGTTCCTCCCTCCCCTGTCCTGGGGATCCAGCCGGGCTCCAGAGCCTCTCGCATACTGAGCAAGTGCTCTACCACTGAGCCTCGGTCCCGCCCAGGAGACTTCATTTTCAACAGGGTTCTCACTTGGGAGCCGTGGAAGATTTGGAGCATGGGTGTTTTTTAGGAGGGTTGATCTGATGCAGCCCAGGGTAGGGTGAACTGAGGAGGCTGTATCCAGATGTGAAGAGCAGTACAAGAGAAGGTCAGATGGTATTTGGAGCTCAGACCAGGGACAGAAGAAGGAGACAGAGACAGTTTGGAATCTGGAGATCTGGTTCAGGAGCCTCCTTCTGACTATTTTTATCTTTCCTATTTGGACACTAGCCTCCTGGGACCTGTAACGATCTGATGAGAAACCATGCCTCTAGCCTGCAGTCCCTGGAGCCCAGATTCAGGCCCAGCCGACCTTCACTGGGCCTTGGGGTGTACTAGGCCAGGCCTGGTTAGAATCAGGGTTTGCCCCGACAGTTTTCTGCCAAGAACTGGAGGAACGTCTGCTCTGTCTCTCAACTACCACCCCAAGCCAATTCATCCACGCCAGGCAGCCTCCTAAGGGAGAAACAATAGGGTTTATCCCTGCCTGAAAAACCTCCCACTTTTTTTTCCTAATATTTAAAAATAATCCACATTTTAAAAAAAGTAAAATATTGGTACGTTTTAAATACACACAGTGGTAACCTTCGTCAGAGGGAATTTGTACCTGTGCATGCTATGTCTTGCCTCTTTTTTTTTTTCTCATTCCCCTCTCTTCCCTTCAACCCCTCTCCCCTTATTTACAAAAGCTTTGTTTATATTTTTGTAATATTCTCTTTTTCTTGTCCTTTACTTCCTTCCGCCCTCCCTGTTCCCCTTCCTGTTTGGACATTTTCTTCCCAGTTACCAGTATCTGTTATACATTTTGGACCTTCTTTTGACTTTTCGTTTTCTCATGCCAGAGAAACAGTGGAGTATTTAAACATGTGTGTCTGATTGATCTCACTTAAGAGTATGGTCTCAAGGTGCATCCATTTAGCTGTAAATGTCTGAAGCTCATCCTCCTTTATGGCAGAGTAGTACTGCATTGTATAAAAACCCCACGTCTTCTTTATCCATTCATCAGTTGATGGGCATTGGGGCTGTTTTCAAGATTTAGCTATTACAGACTGTGTTGCTATAAACATGGATGTGGCTGTATCATCCACCACTATTTATTAAAGAGGCTGTCTTTCTTCCAGTGGAGGTGTTTGGCTCCTTTGTCAAAGATAGGGTGTTTGTAGCCGGGTGTGGTGGCGCACGCCTTTAATCCCAGCATTCTGGAGGCTGAGGCAGGAGGATTGCTGTGAGTTCAAGACCAGCCTGGGCTACACAGTGAGTTCCAGGTCAGTCTCAACTGCATAGTGAGACCCTGTCTCAAAAACACAAACAAACAAAGCTAAGGTATTTGTGTATGTTTGGAGTTATTGCTGCATCTTCTAATCTGTTCCATTGATCCATAGGTCTGTTTTGCCAGTTCCATCCTGGTGTGTGTGTGTGTGTGTGTGTGTGTGTGTGTGTGTGTGTATTTTTTTGGAGGGGGTATATGGGATTGAAGTCAGGACCTTGCACTTGTGAGGCAGGCACAGTGCCACTGGGCTAAATTCCCAGCCCATACCATTCTGGTTTTATCACAGTAGCTTTAGAGTATAATCTCAAGTCAGAGATTATGATGCTCCCTGCCTTGCTTTTGTTGCCCAGAATTGCTTCAACTGAGCTAAATCCCTAGCCCTTTGTATTGTTTTCTTAATCTCCATTGCATGTTCTATGAGCTAGTATGTGCTCTGTTTTGGAGAATGTCCCATGAGCTACTGAGAAGAATGCGCATTCTGATGTGTGGTAGGACACTCTGTAGACATCTACTAAGTCCATTTGTTCAAAAGTTTGATTCAGTTCTGATATTTCTTTGTTGATTTTCTTTTTTTTGGTACTGGGGATAGAACTTCGGTCCTTGCACTTGTGAGGCAGGCGGTGGAACCACTGAGCTAAATCCCCGGCCCTGTTGATCTTCTTTTTGTCTAGTTTATCAATTTGTAATGAGGGTATTGAGGTCTCCCATTACAGTTGTATTAGGGCTTATTTGATTTTTCGTGTCCATTAATACCTGTTCTATATAGTTAGGCACACTGTTATTTGGTGCATATATATTTACGATTGTGGTCTCTTCCTCTTGAATTGTTTCCTTCAGAAAGGTTGTAGTGACGTTCTTTGTTTCTCTTAATCAGTTTTGTCTTGAAATTCACTTTGTCTGCAGATAGAATGCTATCCTTGCTTTTTTCTGGTTGCCTGTTGCATAAAATATTGTTTTCCATTCTCTGACTTTCAGTCTATAAATATTTTTTTAATTAAATGTGGTTTTTTGCCAGGCCTGGAGGTGCATTCCTCTAACCCCAGCACTCAGGAGGCTGAGGCAGGAGGATTGCTGCGAGTTTGAAGCCAGCCTGGGCTATATAGTGAGTTCAAGGCCTCCCTGAACTATATAGTGAAACTCTGTCTCAAAAAAAGTAACAACAGAGTTTGTTTCTCCTGTGCAGCATATTTTTGGATCTTGCTTCTTGATCCATTCTGACAGTCTGTTTCTTTTCTTTTCTTTTTTTGGTACTGGGTTCAAACTCAGGACTTTGTGCTTGTGAGGCAGATGCAGTGACACTGAGCTAAATCCCCAGCCCCCTTTGATTTGATTCTTTAAAATAAATTCCTAAGAGAGACTCTCACCATGTTGTCCAGGCTAGTCTCATACTTCTCGACCGAAGTGACCCTCCTGCCTCACCCTCCCAAGTAGCTGGGACTACAGGTGCACACCGTCACACCCTTCTTCACCGCGATTTTGAGCAGCTGTGCGGTTTACCATTGACCCAACATGGCTCACTTTGCTTTTGCTTCTTGCCAAGCATGGACTCTCTGTGGCTGTAGTTTTTCTGAGGGCAAGATGAGGATAACAATAGAACTGACCTCACGGGCTTTGTGCATCATGGAGTTGAGCCCCCAACCCCACAGGGGACTCTGAGCAGTGTGTGTGGTTTGTAGCAAGCAGTAGGTAACTGTCTGTTTTTTGTTTTTTGGTTTTTTGAGACAGGGTCTCACTATGTAGTTGAGACTGACCTGGAGCTCACTTTATAGCCCAGGCTGGTCTCAAACTCACAGCGGTCCTCCTGCCTCAGCCTACCGAGTGCTGGGATTACAGGCGTGCGCCACCACACCCAGCTAAGCAGTAGGTAACTATCAACTCTTACTGTTAAGACAATTAAATTTTGGTTTTAGGACGAGCTGCCCTGCAATGGCCATTGGGGTACAGAGTGAAAATCCTTATCCAAATGCTTGAGACCAGAGAAGTGTTTCAGATTTCCGAGGGTTTTAAATTTTAGAATATTTGCGTAGACTTTACCAGTTGCACATCTTAATTAGAAAATTTGAAATCTGAAGTGCTCAGAGATTGGAAATGTTTTGAATGTTAAATCAGTACTTAAAGTTTCAGATTTCAGTGCATTTGAGGTTTCAGAACATCATATATACATATATAGATATATATAGATAGATAGATATAATTTTTTTTCTTTTTGGTGATACTTAGGAATGAACCTAGGGTATTCACATGGAGCTACATCCTAGCCATTTTAAAATTTTGAGACAGGGTTTCACTAAGTTGCTACATTGCCCAGGCTCCATTTGAACTGTGACCTTGCCTCCGCCTCTCAACATGCTGGGACTATAGGCACGTGCCGCCATGTCTGACTGGATTTCAGACTTTGCATTGGAAATGTTCAATTTATAACTAGATCTTTGTGGTCATCTCAGATAATTTCTTTGGGAGAATTCCTGTTGGATACACTCGCCCCTCGTTGGTGTCACTGATGCAAGACTTGTTCTCTAGCACGGTTACACCCCAGCATGTACTTAGTGTGCCTTCTCGTGAGAGCAGGGGCTCTGCTCTGTGGAGACTGAAGAGAGTAAGTCATGTTTGGCTGTAACATCATTTGGCAGTAAACGTTTGGCTGAGGAATGAATGAAGAGGGAGCAGGGAGCCTTAGGGCTGTACGTGTGTGACTGGGAGGAGGGGCTGCCACAGATTTGGTCAAAGGATTTGGTTTTAATTCATTTATTCCCACTGTACTAGCTGTCTGTTGTTGCATAACAGATTACCTGGAAATTTAGTGACATCACACAAGAAACGTCTATTATCTCCCGCTGTTTCTGAGGGTGAGGAATTTGGCAGTGGCTTAGCTGGGTGATTCCAGCTCAGAGAAGTTAAACTGTCAGAGAGCAGTCATCTGAAGGCTGCACTGAGGCCAAAGGGTGGTTCACATGTCTGTTGGCAGGAAGTCTCTGAACTTCACCGGGTGGCGGCTGGCTTCCTCCAGCCCAAGTGATCAGAGCGGGACACTGATGGGAGCTGCAGCGTCTTTCATAACCGGCCCCTAGAAGTGACACACCGTCACCTCTGCTCTGTTCTCCTGGTCCCACAGACCCACTCTGACACCACTTTCGGGGGCACCACGCACCGTGAGAAATCCTGGCTGCCACCTCCACAGACGTGCATCGAGGGCCACTGGTGTGCCAGGCACTGTGCTAAGCACCCAGCGGGCCTGACTGAGTCCTCGTAGTCAATTTGTGGAGCAGTGATATTACTTCCATCTTCCAGAGAAAGTGCAAAGTGTAAGTACTGTACTCAGAGTCACATGGCCTGAGAGTGGCTGCGCGGGACTCAGACCTGACTTGAACGATTAGATTAGCGTATGGATGCTCCTGGATTTAAGGTGGGGTTACAGCTGATAAACCCATTGTAAATTGAAAATATTGTAAGTAAAAAATGGATTTAAGAAGCTAGGCTTGGTGGCAACACCTGTAGTCCAGCACTTTGGGGGGCTAAGGCAGGAAGATCTCAAACTTGAGCTCAGCTCGGGCAACTTAATGACTTAACCAGACCCTATCTCAAAATAAAAAATAAGAAAAAGGCTGAGGGCCAAACCTAGTGACGTATGGCTGTAATCCTAGCACTTGGGAGGCTGAGGCAGGAGGATTACTGAGAGTTCGTGGGCAGCCTAGACTACCTGTGAGTTGAAGGCCAGCCTGCACTACATAGTGAGACCCTGTCTCAAAAACAAAATAACAACAAAACAAAAGACCCTAGGTTCAATCTCAGCACTGCTTAAAAAAAAAGATGGAGGGGGGCATTTAATACACCTCATCTACCAAACATTATAGCTTAGCAACACATTACCCTGTGGAGTATTGGTTATTTCCCCTGGTGATTTTAGGACCATTCCCTTATGGATCTCAGCAGGAACTGTGTTTCACTGCTGCTCTCCAGCATCATAATGCATATCACTAGGCAGGGAAAAGATCAAAACTTAGGTACAGTTTCTACTGAAAGTATATTACACTGCTTTTGAACTTGGTAAAGTAAAAAAGTCGCAAGTTGAGCCGTGATAAGAATATCAGTGTGCAAGGATTGGCTGAGGTGGGCTGTGTGACTTTGGGCAGTCTCTTGCTCTCTCTGTTCTTCAGTCCTCAATGTGCCACCCTCGAGTGGCATTACTCTGAGGATTTAGGGCCTGCTTAGATCTTAGCTCTGTCCAGACCGACCGCGGTAGAAATTGCCTTGGTTGGGACCCTGCCGCCTTAGACTGCTGGGAATGAAGTGGTATGTCCCACCCCGAGGAGTACAGGAGACAAACACGAAAGAAATCAGAACGAGGAACAATTACAGCTAGCAACACGGGCATCTGAAGGGTGCCCTGACATACGGGGGCTCCTGTCAGGAACACACCTGTGTTGCCTGGCACTTCTGTCGGAGCAGGGCGCTGGGCGGGCAGGCCGTGGGCCACCACCACAGGGTGGTTCTGGGGCCGTCGACTGCAGACAGCAGACGTGCGGCACCGGGACATTGCTGTGCTCCTGTCCTCTGGCTGTGGTGTACTGTTGGCCTGGACTCTGGTGGGGCCATAGTTAGAAGGGGTGACAGGCGAGCGTGAGGGCAGCAGGGTGAGCACAAGCCCTGGATAATTACAGTGCGCATCCCAGGCCTTGGCCAGGGCTGAGCTGTTGGCTTACTGTAGCCCTGTGCCAAAGCCAGCTCGATTTCCCGAGATGCACACGCTGGAAGGAATCGGAGACTGACGAGGTTCCAATGTCTGCCTGCGCAGCCTCAGAGCAGGGCGGTGGGCTGGGGGCAGTGGGCCCCGGTCAGCGGTATTGCTGTCCAGGAGCTGCATTCGGGAAGGGTATCGTTACTGTGGATGTCATTGTCACTACTACTAAAGTAATCCCTGCGTCATTGTTGGTGTCTCTTGTAGCCAGTGGGCTATTATTTCTGTTTGTTCATCTGCGGAATAGGCCTCTTGATATCTTCTCAGTGGACCTCCATGCCTATTAAATAAGAGAATGAAGGCTGAGTACTCAGCACTCAGAATCAGATGTAGAGCAATTTCCTCCCTCATACCACCTTTTTTTTCTGTACTGGGGATCAAACTCAGGACCTCGTACTTGCAAGACAGGTGGTGGAACCACTGAGCTAAATCCCTGGCCCTTCTTTTTTTTTTTTTTTTTTTTTTTTTTTTGTAAACAGTACTGGGGATTGAACCCAGGGCCTGAGTTACATCTCCAGCCCTTTTAAAAATATTTTTAGCCAGGCGTGGTGGCGCACGCCTGTAATCCCATCACTCGGGAGACTGAGGCAGGAGGATCACTGTGAGTTCGAGACCAGCCTGGGCTACATAGTGCGTTTCAGGTCAGTTTGAACTACATAGTGAGACCCTGCCTCAAAAAACCAAAAAAAAAATTTTTTTTTTCTTTAGTTAAAGGGTGGTCTCACTAAGCCAGGCTGAGTTCAACCTTGCTGTCCTCCTCCTGCCTCATTGTCCCAGAGTGCTAGGATTACAGCCAGTTGTGACCATACCCAGCACCCAGCATCTTTTCTTCCTTTTTCTACCCCTCAGTGTCTCAGCTCGTTGGTTCTTATTTCTTTGACCCCAGAGAACTGAAGTCAGGTGCTGTAAGACGGCCACATGATGACTAAGTCAGTAGACTCTGACTCCATGGGCAGGCACACAGCTGGGCAGGCTGGGGTCCTGCTGGAGACAGACGTCTGAGTGGAGGGGATGGCAGTGAGGGACTTATGTAGGGCTTTTCTTGTCTCTCTCCTGTATGCTCCTTAGTTGCCTGTACCTGGACTGTGGGGAAGAGAGCCTGCGAGGTGCCAGCATTGTACTGAGGGTGGTTGGCCTTGGTTTTAGTAGGCAGCTCATTCACAAGCAGTAGTGGCCACTAGGGTAGCCAGGCCCTGTTCCGGGTGCTGGGGAGCTGCAGCTGCGTAGACAGAAGTGTCTGCTGTTTAGGAGCCTGTGCTGTAGTGGGGAAGCGGGGCCTCCAGACAGGGAGTCTGCGTGCGAGGAGGCGAGACATGCTGTGGAAAAGAACTGGGTGAAGAGAGGCGGGGTGCCTGTGGCATTGACTTTCACCACAATGTTAAATCAGGTAGTCGGGGTGTGCTCGCTGAGGATGAGGGATAAGTGCGTGCTGGTAACAGTAGCAGCTGTAATGCCCCATTCTTTGAGCATTAACTATACACTAGGTACTCTAACGAGCTATAATTGGCTCTCTGTATCTGGAGGTTCCAAATCAGTGGATTCAGCCAAACTCAGATAAAAAATGTCCAGGAAAAAAAAGCACTGAACATGTACATACTTTTTGTTGTCATTATTCCCTAAACAATACAGTGTAACAACTTTCCGTAGCATTCGCATTAGGTATTATGAGCAATCTAGACATGATTTAAATTGTGTGAGAGGATGTGTATAGGTTATATGCAAATACTCCGCCATTTTGTACAAAAGACTTGAGCTTTGGAGATTTGAGTATCCTCGTGGACCTGAGGGATGGCTCTTCTACCTGAGTCCGTCCTCTGCAGCTGTAGGATTCTCCTTGTATAGCTAAGGACGGGCTCGGACTTGAAACAACTTCCTGAGGTCACCCAGGTATAAGTGACAGAGCTGGACTCTGAATCCAGACCTGTGTGACCCCAGAGGCTCGTCCCGCCAGCTCGCCATGTGCCCATTAGCCATGAGGATTTGGCCCTGGCACTGGCAGAGCTCCGGGGAGCCAGCAGATACTGTTGAAGCCATAGACCCGGGTCCTGGTAGTGGGTTTATGGTGCTGTGTTCCTAGCGGGGGAGTGGGAATGGATCGTTCTGTGTTCAGGACAGGCCTCACTCACCCACGGCCAAATGTGCCACCCTCAGAGGACGAGCATGAATCACGGCAGAGAAGGCCAGCTTAGTCAGCACCCCATGCTGGTGTCTGGGCCCCATCTAGACACACTCAAGCTGTCCCCTCCCCGACCTTTCCCTGAGCCTCACCTGAGTCAGGCTGAGGCGTGTGAGGGTGCAGGTTGTGCCTTGTGCAAGGACACCTGGCCGAGGAGCTGAAATCCAGCCAACCTTCTGCCTGCCAGGTGCGTGTCTGCAGAATGCCGTATCTGTCCAGAGGGTTTGCAGGCTGCACCATCTCCTGATGTGTGCTCAGGCCTGAGGGGCAGGCAGTCGGCTCAGGAGCCCTAGACGTCCACGCTGGGGAGGTCACCTTCCCAAAGGCCAGCTCCTGCCCGGGAATGGGGCTTCGGCACTGCCTGTGGAGGGAGGTCTGAGAAGGACGTGGAAAGCGCCGGCCCTCAGCACCGTCCTGGCTCTGTAGAGCTGTTGTGCAGGGTAGGGGTCCAGGCTCACCTCTGCCTTTTGTGCCGTGGACCTGGGGCAGCTCGGCTCCCCTTTCCTGGCCTTGCTTTGTTGTCTGTGATGTGGACCAGCTGTTCCTGGTGGTCACTTTATCACTGGCAGCGTGTTTCTTAGCTGAGCCTCTGTTTTCCAGAGGCTGATAATAATGATGGTGAAGAAAGCCAGTGTTTCTTGCAGACCTCCTATGGGCCTGGCTCTGTGCAAAGTGTGTATGTGGGTGATCTGATTCCCACAGCAATTCCTTGAGGGTGCACTGTTGTACCCCAGGTTTTAGAGTAGGAAATGGAGGCCAGGAGTTAATGAAGGGCCAAGATCATTGACTTGGATTTAAACCCTGACGTTCACTTGAGCTGACGCTTGACCCTTTTCTTCCAGACATGTAGACCAGGTAGTTGCAGGGCCTGATGCTTAGTTCTTTCTACAAAAGTAGCAAATGGGTAGAAGGCACCATCCCAGGCATCTTCTCGTGTGACCACTGGACATTAGAACTGCAGAGGCCCTTACAGGTCACCTGGCCCAGACACCCTTCTGCTGCTTCACACATAGGGAAACTGAGGCTCAGAAAGGGTAACGATAGCTTACCTGGCAGACGTGACGTTGTGCCACTAGAAAGCAGCTAAGGTGGGCTTAAAATGCGGGCGGCAAGACCCATACTCCTAATCATGCAACCAAAACTCTAGAACACGGGGTCCTGTAGGCCTCTCCAGGGTTTCTAATGTTTCTCAGGGGCCAGATGAGGGGTGGGCAGAGGAGGTGTGTGTGGGCAGAGGCTGACAAGGTGAGTACCTACGTGGAAACATGTATGGTTGGACGTCTGGTTGATGGTGTGGCTAAGCAGGCAGGCAGAGGTGTGTGGCCTGCTTCCTGGTGGGTTGGTGTTTCAGGCAGTTTGTGGGCAGCTTCTCTGCCTTCCCCGCCCCTTGTAGCACCGCTCTGAGCCCCCATTTCCTCATTCGTGTATGGGGTTGTAGTGCATATCTCTTGAGGTTCAAAGGGACCAGCGTGCTTCCAGGCTGTGATAAGTATAAAGGATGTCTGCTATCAGTATGAGGCAGCATCTCCTCTTTTTTTTTTTTTTTTTTTGGTTGTTTTGAGACAGGGTCTCTCTATGTAGTTGAGACTGACCTGGAACTCACCATGTAGCCCAGGCTGGTCTCGAACTCACAGCGATCCTCCTGCCTCAGCCTCCCAAGTGCTGAGATTACAGGCATGCACCACCACGCCCGGCTCAGCATCTCCTCTTGTAGTTCATGCTGGTCCTGAACTCACTGTGTAGCCCAGGCTGGTCTGGAACTTGTGGTGATCCTCCTGCCTCAGCCTGCCAAGTGCTGGGATTACTGGCGTGAGCCACCACACCCAGCTTTGCTATTGTGTGATTTGTTGGAGGATTCTTTGGTGCGAGATTAGCAATGTAGGCCTAACTTCCTGGATACTAAGCCCAACTTTGTTGTCTTCTAGTGGCATAACCTTGACCAAGTCACTTCGTGGAGCCTCAGTGCCCTCATCTGAAAAGGCATCGTAGGCCCTACCCACAGTTGTCCTGAGGATTACATGAAATGATGTATATAAAGCTCTTAATCTACTGCTGCTATGTAGTCGGCGCCCACTAAACCACTACCTCTAATAATGACTAACATTCATTGAGCATTTGCAAGGCAGGTGGCAGAAGCACTGGGCTAAATCCCCGGCCTTCTTTGAGCATTTGTATGATGCCAGACATAATTTATTAGGGGCCAAGACTCTCTTTTGTGGTACCAGGGCTTGAACCCAGGGAGTGTGGAGCTACATTCTCATCCCTTTTCTCTCTTTTTTTAATGTTGAGATACAGCCTCACTAAGTTGCTCAGGCTAGCCTTGAACTTGAAGTCCTACCTCAGCCTCCCGAGTTTCAGGCATGTGCTATCACTCCCAGAAATTTCCATTATTATTATTGTTTTGTGCTGGGGATCAAATCAAGGATTTTGTGCATGCTAGGCAAGTACTGTACCACTGAGCTACACTCTCAACCATCATAATCTATCTGTACTAGCAAACAGAATTCTGTATCACACCCTAAAAAATTAATTGATCTCTGAGACTGAGGCAGGAAGATCGCTGTGAGTTCGAGACCAGCCTGGGCTACATAGTGAGTTCCAGGTCAGTCTCAACTGCATAGTGAGACCCTGTCTCAAAAAAAAAAAAAAAAAAAAAAAAAAAAAAAGATCATTCATACCCTCTGCCCACAGTGAAATAGAGGCCTAGAGAGCCAGGTGCACACCTGTAATCTCAGCACTCAAGAGGCTGAGGCAGGAGGATCACTGCAAGTTCAAGGCCAGCCTAGGCTACATAGAGAGACGCTGTCTCCAACAAAAAAGTGAGAGAGAGTTAGAGCAGGGCAGTGACTTGTCCAAGGTCACACAGCCAGCTTTTCAGTACACTGTATGGTTTGGACAGCTCAGCCTGCTGCAGAGCTACTGTTCTGTGACAATGTCCCCCCACAGGGACATCCTCCTGCATCCTCCTTTCCCCATTACTCTCCGGAGCCAGCAGCTCCCTGGAGCTTCAAGCTTTGTGAATGGCTTGGTTAAGCACTCGGCCGTTAAACGTTCATCTCATACAATTTCAATCCAATTCCTATAAGTTTATTGGCAAGACGGGGTATATTAGAGCTGCCAAATTTAATACATCAGGCCTGCATGTCTGAGATGTGATTTCTCAGCAGTAATGGGAGAAGAGAGGTTTTATACGTTTTCATTTGGAATGACTAGCTGTTCCTGATCCCATTACAGCCCCTGACTTAATGGCTGTCGTCCCTGCCTGCCACAGGAGTGACTTTCTCCATCAACCTGCTTGTCTGCCTGGACTCTCTGGGATGCTTGTTTGTCTCCGCATTTCCTCCTGGACTTGCCCTCCCAAGATGCATTTCCCCATCTGTCTGCTGTGTGAATCAGGTCCCAGCCTCATCCTTATTTGTCAGATCCTGGGAATCCGTGCCTATTAGCCTGGGCGACACCTTCTGACGTAGGGAAGGCATCGCCTGTCCTCGGGGCCCTAAGGGCCTTCTCTGTGAAGTAGAGCCCAGACAGACCACCGGATAGATGGCCAGGTCAGCCTCGGCCTGTGCATGTCCCTGAGCAGACCGGGTCCCCCTCTGATCATGTAACCCAACTGGAGGACCCAGGGGCTGGCTGGAAGAGATACAGAACAGCTGCCCACCTTGGGCAGCAGACCTGAGACAGTAGTGTTGGCTGTGATCATCATGGCTGAGGGAGGTCTAAGATCGTAATATTCTCATTCCCTCCAAGACTGCCTGGGGACTTGTCACCCAAGAACCTAATAATCTGTTTGGGAAGCTCTTAGCACCTGCTGCCTCACCTTCCCTAAGCATTAAGCTGGCTATGGAAAAGAAGACACCTGGCAGTGTGATTTTTTTTTTTTTGTAGACAGGGTCTCACTATGTAGTTGAGACTGACCTGGAGCTCACTATGTAGCCAAGGTTGGTCTCGAACTCACAGCGATCCTCCTGCCTCAGCCTCCTGAGTGCTGGGATTACAGGCGTGCGCCACCACGCCCAGCATGGCAGTGTGATTTTTAAAGAACCTGTGTTTATGTTCTGCTTGCCAGCTGTGTGACTGTAGGCAAATCACTTTCCTTCTCTGAACCCCAGTGTCCCAAGCGAAAATGGGAATTCATTTATTCCTGCCCTCTATCAAGTGCCATTTTAAGTGCTGGGCTTCCAGCCATGAGCAAAGCAAGAGTATATCTACCTTCATGGATTTGTATTTTTGCTAGGAGAGAAAGGCAATACGCATAACAAGTAATTTATTACTCAAGATATAAGTGCTATGAGGAGAAATAAATCAAGGAATGGAAAAAGCTAAGGGGAAGGTTCTGTGATTTTAAATACCGAAAAGTGGTCATGGTAGATTACTAAGAAAGTAGCATTTGAGCAAGGATTGAAAGACTGAGTGCCCGTGTGGTAGGTGCCTGGGAGAGAGCTTCCCCGTGTGGGTGCAGCAGGCGCAAGCACCGGGAGGTGGCCGTGTCCCTGGCATATGTGAGGAGCAGAGGGGAGGCCAGTGTGGCCAGCAGGGGAAAGCCAGGAGTAAGGAGGCCGGAAGTCAGGACTGAGGTAGGGGAAGAGGGACGCTGGCCGGAGGGTACGGGGTGATAGTCCTCCAGCCTGGGTACCTGTTAGAGTTACCTGGCAGCTTTAAAAACTACGTCGAAGGTTGGGCCTCGCCTACTCAGGCTCTATTTTGTTTCATTTGTCTTTGCTGTACTAGGAATTGAACCCAGGTCCTTCACCCTGAGTGACACCCCCAGCCCTTTAGATTTTACTCATTTTGAGACTAAATGCACTAAGGCTAGGCTTGCACTTGTGATTCTCTTGCCTCAACCTCCCAGAGTGCTAGTATGTGCCACCATCCCCAGCTTGAGGGTCTGTTTTCTGGGGTTTTTTTTGAGACAGTCTTGCTATGTAGTTCAGGCTGGCCTTGAACTTGTAGTGAGACTCCTGCCTCAGTCTCCCAAGTGCTGGGATTGCAGACATGTGCTACAATACCAGTGTTGGAGATTCTGTTTTAAATAGCCAGGATTGGAGGCTGGACATCACAAATGTTACAAGATTTATCTGAAAAGCCAGGCATGGTGGTACATGGCTAGAATTCCAGCCAGTCAGGCTGAGGCAGGAGTATTGCCAAGTTTGAGCCCAACCTGGTGATTTAGCCAAGACTGTCTGAAATTTTAAAATATAAAAATGGGTTGGGGATGTAGGTCACCACTCCCTGGGTTCAATCTTCAATTTTTTTTTGTTGTTGTTGTTGTTGTTTTTAAATCCCTTTGGAGTGAAGGATTTGTCAAACTGTAATCATCAGCTCTAGAAGTTTCTCATTGGGTGGGGCACCTATAAATAAAATCTTGGCCCAGGACTGGCCCTCAGGGGCCGTTTCTCTGATGGTCTGACTGAGTGCTTATGGTTCCCCAGACAGCTGCAGCCCCTGGCACAGGTGGGCATGGGGAAGCGATACTTCTGTGACTACTGCGACCGTTCCTTCCAAGATAACCTCCACAACCGAAAGAAGCACTTGAATGGGCTGCAGCACCTCAAGGCCAAGAAGATGTGGTACGACATGTTCAGAGGTGAGTCTCAGTAGCCAGACACCTGGAGCCTGTGCTCTGGTCCTTCTCATCGTTAGACGAGGACCGCCATGGTCAGCAACCGTCTGGGCAGGGCTGTCTGAAGATCAGGAGAGCCTGTGGTCCTAACACTTGGGAGGCTGAGGCAGAAGGGTTGAAGCTCAAGGCCAGCCAGGGCTACGTAGTGAGCTTGAGGCCAGCCTGAGCTGCATACATAAGACTCGGTCTGGAGAAGGAGAAGGATGGATGGAAGGGGAGGAGCAGAAAGAAAAAACAGGCAGAGGTCAAGTCTGTAGCTCCAGGGGCAGAGGAGCCCTCAGAGGGGCGTATCAGAGCGGGAGGTCCCTTCCCCGGTGGTCTCAACCGGGGGCTTTGTGCTGCATACACCGTGGGCCACCCTGGGGAGACTGTAGGCAGGAAGAGGCCTCTTTGAGGGGGAAATACTTCAGCCAACAGCTGAAATATGGGTCAGCAGTCGATAGCCACTATTCTGGGCGAGGGTGTGCAGAAAAGCAGGCATCCGTGAGCAGAGCTGGGAGCAGAGAGGGGAGGAGGGAGCTGGTGAGGGAGAAGGGCAGGAGCCACAGCATCAGACAGATCCTTCAGGCCTGCGGAGGCCACAGCGAGGGGCTGCGCCGTCCCAAGGACGAAGGGCAACAAGCAGCCTTGGAAAGGCTTGAGGCAGAGGTCATTAGGAAGGACTCTGCTGCTGGATGAACAATAGAAGTAGCTGCCGGATGACTGGTTGGGGGGAGGATGAATAGCCCAGCTGTGGAGGGAGGGAAGGCGAGCAAGAGGGCTGTTAGGGAAAGCTTCTCAGAGCAGGTGCAGCAGGGGCCTGGCCGCCGGGGGTGGGGCCGTGTGTGATGGAGCGGTGCTGCTGCACGAATGGCCGGGCAAAGGTGAGAGCTGGGCGGTGTGGCGGGGGTGGACCTGTGGCTCCTACAATGAGCGAGCAAAGAATGCTGCACAGATTGGGAGCAGGATTCCGGGACGTGGCTCAGAGTCCCAAAGGAGAGAACCGAGTCCCGGCAGCCGAGGAGAGAGCGGAAGGAAGGCGGAGGTGGTTCTCTGTTCTCTGGGCTGAAGCTCAGAATGCTTACAAGAGCGTTAGCATTTAAAGAGGACCTGTCACATGCCAGGTGTTTGCCCTGGTTTGTCATTTCTCAGTGACTGACACCCAGCAGGCTGGGATCACCTGGAGACCTTTAACTGGAAAACGTTAGCCAGGTGCAGTGCTGCACACTTGTAGTCCCAGGTACTCGGGAGGCTGAGGCACAGGATTCCTTGAGCCCAGGAGTTCTAGACCAGTCTGGGGAACACTGCAAGACATCGTCCCAAAAAGAAAATAAAAATGGGGCTGGGGATTTAGCTCAGTGGTTCTGCTGCCTGCTTCACAAGTGCAAGGTCTCAAGTTGGATCCCCAGTACCAAAAAAAAAAAAAACCTGACTCCCCTGACCCCAGCCTCAGACATGGGCTGGGGCAGGTGTGGACTCGGTATGGTATTTTTAAAGCTCTCCCAGCTATTCCCCATTTCAGATGAGGGAACTGAGGCTCAGGCGTGAAGGTTGCTCAGCAGCCCAGGCATGCCCGTGGCTGGGAGGGACCAGGAATTGGGGCAGATGGGGAAATCAGGAGTAGTGGGGACTTCTAGGTGCCTGGGAGGCCTCTAACCCTGGCCTGGGGCAAACGCTCCCTGTCCCCCAAATCCAGTGGGGGCTGTGGTCTGGCATCAGCCTGACCTTGGCCTTGGCTCCTAGTCCCAGCCTCAGCCAAGAACATCTTGGTCCTGGGGTCCAGAGCTCATGGACAGGGATCCTTGGGCTCCTTATAGAAAAGATGAAAGGGCAGGTGCCATAGCCCATCCTCAGGCCTCCTGTATTCTTAGTGTCCTTGCTCATCCCCACCCACATTTTGTCCTCAGGATAGCTCTGCAAAGAGTGCTGGTGGCCCAGGGTCCCATTTGTTGGCAATGACTTTAAATTCCAGACCTAGGAGCTCTTTCCCCTTCTTCAGGAGGCTTCCCCAGGACCCCTTTCCCCTGAGGAACTGCGCAGGCTCTGGGAGGCACTGTGTGCCCAGCCTGGGTGGTGCTCCTCCCCTCCCAGCATCCTAACTTGGACGGACCCTGAGCCCTCAGCAGTTGACAATCCAAGGGCTTGGTCAGGACAAGCATGGACCCTGGTGTCATCCCCAAGGTGTCATTCTCTAGTGGTGTGGTACTAGTTTTGTAACAAGTGAAACAGCCCTAAGAAGTGCCTACCTCCCAGGGTATGACGAGGGTTCGGTACTCCCATGATGACTGGCACATGGTGGCTCGCTAAGTAGGAACAGTGTATAAGTCTTCAAAAGGATTGGCTGGGCCCTGTGTCTCATAGGCTCATTTATTCAGCCAGTGCCCAGTGAATCCTTAGCTTGACCTTAGCTCTCAGATGGAATCTGAAAATTCAAAGATGGCTAAGACAGGGCCCTTCTCCTAAGTCACCTCGCCCTTGTCCTACGTGTTTCTGTGTTCTGGCCTCTCCCTCCTGGCCCTGGTCACTCTGGTCAGTGCATTACTGTCCTCTGCCCGGGCATGCTCTTCCTGTTCTCTTCCCCACCCCAAATCAGTGACCCCCATCTCAAGCAGCAAAGCCTCGGGCCAGGTCAGGTATTTGACTACACAGCCAGTGTCGCCCCGTTTATATCCATGTGGATCAGCGTGGCCGTTGGACCAGCTCCGGCCTACTCTTCCCTGAAACCCTTACCCTGGCACGGTGCCTGGCACTTAGGACGAGGTCAGTGAACATTTGGAAGATGAGGGACGAGGTGGCTGCTCAAACGTGGGGCGCCAGGGCCGCTGTTAACGTCGGGAGATGAAGCAAGAGGAGCCGGTAGGTCAGGTCACAAGGAGCCTTGGCCAGCAGGCAGAGGAGCAGAGGCCCCTTAGAGCAGGGCCTGCGCTGAGGCTTCTCAGTCCTTAGGTGCGCGTCAGTGCACGTCAGAAGCCCTGAGGAACTCTGAACAGTTCTCGTGCTGTCCCACTCCAACCGCCTAAAGCAGGATCTGAGAGGGGTGGGTTCCGGGATCATGTACCTTGCTGTAGCTTATTTTTCATTAGTGCTTGTTTGTACTGCATAGTGGTTACATTTATCATGAGGTAATGGTACGTGGACCTGGTGATTTCATTCCCTAGCCCTCCCATCGCTCCCTACTCCTTCCATCTCTTGGTCCTCTTCCCATTTACAAAAGCTCTATTTGCATTTTTTTTCTTCCATTTTTTTCCCTTCTCCCTTCCTTCCTTCTTTCCTTTGTTTTTTATTTTATTTTATTTTTTTTAAGAAAGTGTCTCACTTTGTGGCTCAGGCGGGCCTTGAACTCACTGCGTAACCCAGGCTGGCCTCAGACTCACGATGCTCCTCCTCCTCCTCAGCCCCCCGAGTGCTGGGATTACAGGTGTGCATCCCCACGCCCGGCTCCATAATAGCAGTGATTCTGAAGTGTAGGGGGGTTGAGTACCACTGGGCCAGTGGCTGTGTGGTGTGGAACTTCTCCCACACAGAGCCATCCAGCCAGGGTCCTCTGATGGGATCTGAACCCTCCACCAGCCTCAGTGGTCCTAGCCTCGGGGCACTTGGATAACATTCACATACCCTCCACCAGCCTGCTTCTCCCAGGAGTGGTGTCTGTGCTCATGTGGGAGACTGGAGTCTGACAGTTGGACCCTTCTCTACTCTACTGGTCCTACCCATGGCTCTAGCTGGACCCCTCTGGAGTGAGTCCTCCGATAGCCAACTTCCGAGCCCAGCAAATTCCCAACTCCCCCAGCCACTAGCGCCCTGCAGGGAGAGGCATCCCCATGGGATGGGCCATTTACTTGACCACATGGAAAAAGCAGGGGCTTTCAAGTCTTACCCATGAGGGTTCAAGGCAGGCACTACCAGCTCCTTAAATGTGTTTCCTTTGGGGAGTTCATTTCCCTGTGTGAACCTCAGTTTCCCTTTTGCAAAATGGGCTGTTAGCACTCTACTACTAGCTTGGGAGGAGAAATAAGAACTACTGCCAGTTCTGGGCTCCCACTTGGTCCTGGCTGCTCCTCGTTGTCTGGGCAGTAGGAAGCCAAGGCTGCACCTGACCCCACAGGCTGGTTCCATTGTAGTCACTTTCTTGGTGATTCTAAGGTTCCACCAGGCTTGGACGCCACAAGCCTCCTCTACCAAGTGCTCTCCACTCACAACTTTACTAAATTTTCACAGCAGCCCTGCCAGGTGAGGGATGGACAGTGCTACACACTGGAAAAATTAAGCAGCCTGCTGTGCCAGGATTTGAGCTTAGGTTCCTGGGCCTCAGAAGCTCATGGTCTTTCCTCTAGCCCGGCAGCCTCAAGGAAAGGCAGTAAGGAAATGTACAGCCCAGCTGGCCTCTTCCTTCACCTAGTGTGGACAGAAGGGCCCCTGAGTTCAGGGACCATCCTCAGGAGTCTTATTCACAGGTGTTTTTTTTTTCCCTTGAGGAAGGGGTCTGTCCATGTTGCCCAGACTGGTATCTAACTCCTGGGCTCAAGAATACCTCTGCCTTAGCCTCCTGAGTGGCTGGCACTATCGGTGTATAGCTCTGTACCCAGCCTACTTACAGATTTTGACTGATTGATACCTACCAAGAAGAACACGTTTTAGTTTTTTTGAGACAGGGTCTCACTTTGTAGCTCAGGCTGGCCTCAAACTCACAGCGATCCTCCTGCCTCTGCCTCCCAAGTGCTGGGATTACAGGCGTGAGCCACCAAGCCCAGCTGAAGAACACATTTTAAAACCATGATTATATGACGAAAATAAAGGCAGGAAAAACTGGAGGAAACCAGAGTTAAGGTTAGTATCTGGAATGATTGCTGGGAAGTCCTGTCCAGGACAGTGCCTGGTCTGGCTCTGAGCACCATAGCTGGTGACAGGAGATAAAACAGAGTCGTGGCTATGGTACAATTCCTCAGCTCTGGGATTGGCTAGTGGGCTTCCTGGCACCATTTTTTTTAAAGCTTTTTATTTTGAAATATAGTCATGTTTGCTTAATGACAAGAACACAGTCTGAGAAATGCATCTATTAGGTGATTTCATTATTGTGCAAACATCATAAAATGTACTTACATAGACCAAGAGGGCTCTGACATCACTAAATGATAGTCTGGGACCATTATTATATATGCAGCCCATCATCGATCAGAGAGTGTCATTATGTGGGCACATGACCATAACTGTAGATTCACAGGAAGTTAGGGTCACATGGAGGTGCCATGGAACCTGGATTAAAACGAAACAAAATTACAATGAAAGAACTCCTCAAGTAATTCCATTGTGCAGTCAAGGTCAAGAATCTCTGTCCTCAAACCTGATTCTTACCTTTGGCTGGCCCTGGGGAGTGGGAGGGTGGTGTCACCTGTAGCTTGAATCCCACCACCCAGCATCCCCACCCTTTACACCACAATTGGGGGGCTCTTTCTTTGTGACTGTGTCCCCCTGAGGTCCATGCCCCTTTGCCTCTACCACCCCTGCAGCCATCTGAACCCAGCCCCTCTCTTCCTGCAGATGCAGCTGCCATCCTGCTAGATGAGGAGAACAAGCGACCATGCAGGAAGTTCCTGCTGACAGGTAAAGTGCTCTGCTCAGCTCCCATCCTTCAGGAACTAGCAATGCCCTATCTGGCTTGTGTGGAATTCTCTAGAGTGTCTCCCCCAACCCTGGCCATCATCCTGAGCCCACTTTGCAGTGGGCTGACTGGTCCATCAGGGGCTCCCCAGAGTTGAGCCTTGAGTCTTTACAAGGCCTGGTACTCAGCTCCCTAGACCTAGAATGAAATTTTATTAGCTTACTCAGAACAAGCAAATACTGGAGAGGTTAAGTAAACTCAGGGACTAATAGACTAACTGATTAAATTATCCTGGGATGCCTTCCTCCTGCTGTCTCCTTCCCAGCAGGCAGAGCTGGAGACAATAACAGGTCTTAGGAGCTGAGGAAGTTTAGAATCAGAACCAGGGATGCTAGGTGTTCATTGCCTGTTCAATACCTAGCTCATAAAAATGAATACAGTTTGGGCTGGGGATTTAGCTCAGTGGTACCACGCCTGTCTCACAAGTACAAGGTCTTGAGTTCCACTCCCGATACCAGGGGGAAAATTATATATATGTATAAAAATTTTCAAAGAGACAAAGACCTCAGTAAATGAAGAAAGCAAAGACAGATTAAGTTAAAGGTAGGAGACCAGCTAGAAGAAAAATTAGTCTTCTGTTTGTTCTTGAGGTCCTGTGTACTGCTCTCTAAGGGACTGGCCCTGAGCTTCCTAGCAGCTAAGGCAAAGAGGAAAGCCCCGATGCTTCACACGGTTTGCAAGGTTACTTGGCACTGGGGAGAGGTACTGCTATTGAGCTGGGGAGCTGAGTGAATAGCCATGCTCTCCTCAGGAGATGTGCTGCCCCAAACTGGCCACCAGGCCTGCAGACCAGGGGCTTCCTCACATACTTGGCCTTGATGTGCCTATGGCACCACACGGCTTAGATTTTATGGCCTAGGATACCACCAGTCTGCTGTAATTTCAAGACACATTTTTCTTTCCTTGGTTGAGATTGAAAAAACCACTGAGACTCTAGTTCCTCTTTGGCAAAGCTGCCATTAAGGCCTTTCTGAGCAGCAGTCCAGCTACTTTTGGAAACCAGGGGAGCAGGCAGGGCACCAGGTGGAGACACAGCATAGGCAGTGGCCTGGAGTAGAAAAGGAAGTGTGGTTCTTACAGGGACCCATACTCAGGTCATGAAGACAAGCAGAGAGGAGGGGCTGCAGATGAGAAGCCTGCAGAGGCTGGTGTTGCCCACTCCTGGCAGGTGCGGTCAGTCGGATCCTCAGCATCCAAGGCTGCTGCAGAGGATGAGCAGGACATGAGGGTTGCTGAGTGTGGGCACGGCCTGAGGGGGTCTGGTGTTTAGGCTAGGGTCGCTACCCTAGGCCCTGAAGTCATGCCCCAACGACTCTAGGGCCCATCTTCGGGGTGCCCACAGCCCAAGCTGGCAAGGAACTGTCTTCCCGAGTGGCCAATAACACTGTCTTCCCATTGCAGGCCAATGTGACTTTGGCTCCAATTGCAGATTTTCCCATATGTCAGAGCAAGACCTGCAGGAGTTGAGTATCCAGGTGGAGGGTATGTTGCAGCAGGGACTCTGGGTGAGGTGGGAGTGGGCTGCAGGGATGGGGTGTGGGACCTGGGACCAGGGAAGCGGCCCTGTGCCTCTCTACCTCTCCCTCACTGGCAGCCGCCATAGAGAGCAGGCCAAGGGCTACCCAAGATGAGGGCCCCGAGTCCCACTTTGAGGTGAGTGTCAGGAACTGGGCCGTGTCCTGGTTTCCTACCCAGGAACCCTGAGGGTGTGCCCTGCTGCTAACCAGACAGCCGTTGTCTCTCCTTCACTCACTCAGGCACCGGCTCGGCCCAGGCACCTCCCTCACAGTGCTCTAGGGACAGGGGAAAGAAAGAAGCACTCTTTTTGCCCTCCAGATCCTCACAGCCTGGTGATTTCAGGGAGAAGTGAGTTCAGCTTCTGTGGAAACTGGCATGTCTGCCTTTGAAAAATTCTCTGCTCACTTCCCAGTAACAAAACAAAGAAGTCCTTAGTTAGATAGTCTCCTGATCTTCTGTAGCTTCTCCCTGGGAGGTGGAGGGGCACAGCTACATTCAGGCAAACGGCCTCAGGTGAGCCCCACTGCTCCGGGGAGCTGCCATCACCTTTCTCTCTCCAGTGGCTTCAGGGCAGCCAGCACATGTCTGGACAGCATGGCCTTGTTCCTCAATAGGCCCGGATCCCCTCTGCCAAGTCAGACCCTGAGGGCACCACACCCTGCCCTGGGGAGCTGACAGCAGCACATCTGCAGCCCTGGCACCCATGAGGGTTTCCAGGAGCTTTCCCAGAGTAGGGGCAAGGCCTCTTGAGACTGGCCAGCAAGTCCTGGCAGTGGCAGCATTGCCAGCTCTTTGCCAGCCATGGACTCTGTGGGAATGGTTGGCTCGTGGTGGGGAGAGCACAGGCCTGTGGGCCTGAGCTGGAGACCACGTCTAGTGGAGACAGATAAGGTAAGGCTCAAGCAGGCTGGCAGTTTGGACAGTCCTGACTCTGCCATAGTCCTTGCAATCTTGGCTCATGGTTGCCCTCTTGGAGGAAGTGTCCTTCCCTGTCAAACACGACTGTTGAGAAGATGAAGTGAGTCAGGCATGGTAGTGCATACCTGTAATCCCAGCAAGCAAGACCTTGTCTCAGAATAAAAGTAATAATAATTTAAAAGGTTTGGGGATGAGGTTAAGTGCAAAGGCCCTGGATTCAGTCCCCAGGACCACGTAACACGCTCACACATGTGTGTGATGCAGAGAGATGATGCCTGTGCTGTTAGCCCAGAGCCTAGCCCTAAGGGTATGTTGATCTATGAGTGTGAATGACTTACGCCCATCATAGACCGCCTTCTGACAAAATCGCCTGCTCACACCTGTCCATTAATCGCTTGGTTCTTAGTTCATAGAGCAGAATTTTTTGTAGGGCAATGTATGAGATGAAACTGATCAAGTTTCATTGCTTTGCCTGGGATCAAATACCTTGCAAATGGCAGAACTTAAAATTCATCCATGTTCTATAGCCCATGTTGCCTCTTGCACCCCAGATTTGGCCCCTTCTTGAGGGCTAGGTTCTTTACATACACGATTCTGTTTCTAGCTCCTGAAACCTGGAGGGGGAAGGCAGGGTGTGCCCCTTCGATGAGAATCAGAATGAGGCCCAGAGTGCTGGATCACAGTATGAAGACGGGCCCAGGAAATAGTGGCGTGGGGAGACATAGCAGCAGTTCTGCTCTGTGTCTTCCTTAGAAAGTTGCCTTTCCCAGGGCCTGCCAGTTCCTGCTGCTTCATGGGAGACTGGACTTTGGGCAGGCAGGACTGTGCCCCTCACTTTGCTTTGTCTCCGTATCCCCACAGAGGAGAGGCGGGCCAGGGAGTGGCCACTGGAAACCCCTGAGCTCCCTGAGGGCCATCTGGAAGACTGGCTGGAGAAGAGAGCCAAGAGGCTGAGCTCAGCCTCAAGCAGCAGGTAGAGGCCCCAGGGTCCCCTCCTCTCGCACCCCAGCCAATCTGTTACATGAGTAACTAACTCCCGCGATGCACTCTCGTAGCTCCCTGAGATTGGGGCATATTGGAGGCCTTTAGGTTCCAGTCCCTGGCCAGAGGGAGTGTACTTTGAAGGTGCCCGTCCTTTGCTCCCCTCGTTAGTAGCTCTCCCCTTTCGGAGTGTGGTGACTAAAGGAGAGGCGGGTAGCCAAACAGATGTGACTCCACACCTCTAAGTCCATCCCTAGAAGGGAGGGCCGAAGTCCTATGTTCTAAGCAACCTGTTACCTGCTACCCTCTTTCCCCTCTAGGGTAGCCTCAGAAGGGGAAACTGAGGCTCCCAGGAGTGTCACTTGCTTGGGTGCACATACTGTTAGGAAGAGGCGGAGCACAGATGGCACAGAGGCATGACGACAAGGTCATTTGTCCACTGCCTTCCTGAGGGAGGGGTCTAAGCCCTCGGGATGCTCAGAGGGGGCAGGAGCCCCTTAGCACTTACATAGGAACACACTGGGTCAGGGTCCCTTGGGGCGTGCGGTGCGTGCCACCCCAGGTCCTTCCTTTTGGAGGAGAGGGACACAGCAGACGGAGGCACAAAGGCAGGCACATAGCATCGTGGCCCACACTGAGGCCAGGGCTCCTGGGGTCCCCTGTCCATTACTGAAGGAAAAAAAGGAGGAAAGGGGACTAAGGGGTGAACTCCTGAGCTGCATGACTTTATACAAGTTGCCCTTCCCAGGCCTCCTCTCTTCCGCTCGTATGCTGGAACTTGAGACCCCCGTTTATCTCTGTGGTATGGCCTCAGAGGACGGCAGCCTGGCCTGAGCCGGTCTGTGGGGTGAGGGCTTTCCGCAGTCCGGCTCTGCCGGGTGAAGGTTAAGCTTCTCGCTCCATTGATGAGATTACCCGTGTTTTTAAATTAACTTTGTCTTTCACCTGCATTTTAAGCCCGTGCCCAGTGTTTGTGCCCTCACCTTGTGAGTACACGGGGCAGACGTGACCTACATGTTGGCGAGTGGGCTGGGGTGTGGCTCAGTGGCAGAGTGATTCCGTAGCCTGCAGGAGGCCCTGGCTTCAGTTTCCAGCACTTAAAAAAAAAAGTTGGAGTGTGACATCCTTTCCCTTGGACCGGTGTGAAGGACTTTGATGAGATTACCCGTGTTTTTAAATTAACTTTGTCTTTCACCTGCATTTTAAGCCCGTGCCCAGTGTTTGTGCCCTCACCTTGTGAGTACACGGGGCAGACGTGACCTACATGTTGGCGAGTGGGCTGGGGTGTGGCTCAGTGGCAGAGTGATTCCGTAGCCTGCAGGAGGCCCTGGCTTCAGTTTCCAGCACTTAAAAAAAAAAGTTGGAGTGTGACATCCTTTCCCTTGGACTGGTGTGAAGGACTGTGGCTTTGGCCACGTGGGCCGGTCCTTTTGGGACCAGCCAGCATGCAGATTTTCAGGACCCAAAGCCCACGATCCTTAGCTGTGTGCCAGGGCGTTGGAGCCGCTCAGAGGCTAGAGAGCTCCCGGGGTCCCTCTGCTTCATCCTTCACATCTCCGCACTCCGGCCTTGACCTCCTCACCGACACCCTCCAGGGCATCTTTCCCCTCAGGAGGCCTGGACGCCACAGCCGGTTGGCAGCTCCTGAGGGTATCTCCCTGCTTGCCCCCAACCTGTGCGGTTGTCTGCTCGTCTCTTGTATCTGCCTCTGTCGGTCACAGCAGATACTTGGCAGTGTCTCAGATGGGGTGGTCGTTTATGATTCAGGAGCACCCAGTGTGTAGTCTCTTCCGTTTGCTGAAATGGTCTTCTGTCTCCGCACCTGTACTTGGCAAAGCCCCACTCAGCCTTTGAGCTTTAGCCAGGGTATTTTCCTTCCAGCCTCAAGTAGGGATGGGTGGGCCCGGGACATGGTGACTGCATGGTGACATTTTGGGGAGCAAGGTCCTCTGTTGGGAGGACTGTTCCCTGAGTGTTCGTGCTATGGGCCCCTTATGGGGACTGGTATGGGGACTCGGGAAATCCCACTTCCTCCCTCTGGGGCACAGAGGGCTGCCTGGCCCACGTGAAACTCCAGCCCCTACAGGCAGAGCAGATCCCCCCACCCCAGGAGCCGGGCCAGTCTTCCCTGTAAACAGGGACACGCGCTCATCCCCTTAACAGACTGACCCTGAGGGATCAGCCAAGAGTGGACAGTGGTGCGCAGCGGCCAGCCTCGGACGCACGGACTGGTCCCTGGCGAGGCTGTGCTTGTCCCCGCTTCCATTGTTGGCTCTTCCGATTGGGACTTTATCCCTCTTAATCTCCCCTGTGCGGCCCTCTCTGGACTAGTGCTGCTGTTCATGCCTGTCCACCTCCATGAGACTGTTTCCTCTTGGTAAGAAGTGTGTCTGGGGAAGAGCCAGGGAGCTGTTCCTGTCCGTGTGCACAGGGGAGTTGGGCCCCACCACACACACCTGTGACCCCATCTGTTCTGAGCAGGGCTGCCCACGTGGGCTTTGAGGCTTGGCGAAGTGCCAATGTGCGTGAGCAGATGCAGGGAATACCCTTCTGTCGTGGCCCTCAGGGCAGACAGGGCACCGGGCTGAACACGGGACTCAGAAGATGGATCCCAGCTGCCCAGGGATCTAAGCAGCTTGCTGGAGGAAAAGCCTGAAGCTCGGGCAGGGGCTCCCCGGCATCCCAGCCTCCCTGGAAGAGCCTGGCTTGGCTGGCTGCTGGGGCTCCCCCTTCCGACAACTGTGGAGCCTCTTCTACCCCCTGCCTTCTCCGTGGCTGGCGGAGTTTATGAAACCTCCCTGGCCCATAAATCATGTTGAGAGCTGCTTTCGGTGCTTTCCAGCAGGCAGCAAGCCATTGAGCAGGGGATGTCCCTTTCCTCTCCCCGGAGGCTCCTGCAAGTCCTCAGCTGTGGGTCCCGTCCTCTCCTAGAGAGGGGCAGCTGGGGGAACGCAGCAAGGCGTACTCTTTAGCCCCCAACTCCTACCCCACCTCCACCTCAGGCCTGGCCTGTCCGGACCTCTCCCTCTTTGTGCAGAGGGCTGGCCACTGGGCCCCCAAGCCAGGTCAGGAGTTTACCTTTCTTGAAGGTTGAGGATTGGGGTGCAGCAGGAGCTGAAGGGGCAGGCGGCAGTGTCTGGATCATATTGACTGTGTCACCCGACATACGACTGATCCCTTTCATAGCAGCTGCCTCATTTGCCAAGTGGGGCTTGCATGGAGATGCTTGAGGTTTCTCTAGGCCAGAGTGTCCGAGCCAGAGCAGTACCCGCTCAGGAAGAGTTCATAGCGTGGCTGTTTGCTACTCAACAGTGTGTGGGTGAGCTCTTGGTGCCAGTCCAGCTCTGGGCACTGGGGTACAGACAGGCCATCTCCCTACCCGTGCCCTCCATCTTCTTGAGAGCTCTGGGCCCAATGAGGAGAGATACAAACCCCTTAAGTTCGAAGTGCTTTGTAGACTGAGCAGCACATTGTGTCCCAAGTCTGGAAGGGTCTGACTGTGGCACGTGTGGGAGGGTTGGGGAGAGGCTACCTCTGTGCCTCCCTGGACCTCAGTCCACGTCCCTAGGCCAGCGTGCCCCAGGCTGGGCCCAGGCGATGCCTGTCCAACGACAGCACCTGAAATGGGCCCCGAGTCCTGGGGGTGGCAGCTTGGCGGGAGGTGAATGTTAAAGAGGAGGGTGAGTAGCATGAGAAATGAGGCTTTAAAAAAAATTTTAGATGAGTATTTTTTCTGATTTCAAAGGCTTGCGTGCTTGTAAAACTTTCTGAAAAGTATAAAGTAGTAAAAAAAAAAAAGAAAAAACCCACCCATAATTGTACCACTCAGAAGCACTGTTAACCTTTTGCTGTGTCTTCCAGGATTTTATGCATTTATATATATGTTATATATCTTTAAACAAAAATAGTATCATGCTATATACATTATTTTATAAGCTGCGTTTGCTCCCTACTCACACGGTATGTCTTTCCTTATCAGTGCATATAAACTTGCCTTAATCTCTACAGACTGCATTCTCCGCTGTGGACGTGCATATGTAGTTAATGAGTCCCCCACAGGTGGACACTAAGGTTATTTCCGCTTTTCTCAAGGCCTCTCTTGTAGCTCAGTCTCTGCCTCGAACCCAGCTATTTCCTTAGGCTCCGTTCCTAGAGGGTAGGCTGCTGGCCCTAAGGGTCTGCAGGAAGGTCGTGTTTCCAGAGGGTGGTTCAGGCAGCCAGCGCTCCCCACAGCCAGGGTGGCAGGAAGGGGAATCAGTCCTGGGCTGTGTGCCTTCCTAACGTTCTACCTTTCTCTTCATCTCTAGGGTCGAACCCCTCAGAGCCACTGTCTTCCAGTACCCCGTGGGCTGGCCGCCAGTCCAAGAGCTGCCCCCGTCCCTGCGGGCACCCCCCCCAGGGGGGTGGCCCCTGCAGCCCAGAGTGCAGTGGGGCTGAGGCCCTTCCCCGTGCTGTCAGCTGTCTCACCCTGAGGTGAAAACGCTTGTTGACACAAGGGAGGCCAAGCCCCCTTCTTGCTGAATCCCACGGAGCCCCGAGACTGCGGGCCTGCCCTCCCCGAGGCGCATCAGTCCCTTTAGCAGCTGCAGCTCCATTGGCCATCCTGCCCTCCCTCCTGGGACGTCTGGAGAAGTTGAGCGAGAAGACTTCCAGGTGTCTATAAAGGAAGTTTGTCCCTATGGTGGTTTGAGTGTGTCTCCCCGCCGGAATTTTCAGCTCCGTTCTGCAGCCATTGGTCAGGGGACACACAGGGCAGGGCTGAGACAAGATCCTCTCCAGAGTGGTGGTGCTCGCAGCCCTTCTCCCTTGCGGACCAGTGAGGCTCAGCCCAGCTGGGCAAGGGAGCCAGTGTGGCTGTGCCTGGTGCTGAGGCCTCCAAGGACTGGAGCCCAGGGACTCCGCCCGCCACCCCGGCTCTGGCAGAATTTGCAGCCCCCGCGCCTGCCCATGCCGAGTGGGTGCCAGGCACTGGGGATGGCACACGTGGGACAGGAACAGGAGCTGAGTCTCTGGCCCGGAGGGGACAGGAGGGTGGGCTCTGAGCTTAGGAGAGTGGCTTGGGCACACCCCTTGGCACTGGCGGCACTGGGCTGAGCCCACCCCCTGGCCCAGAGGTCCTCCCAAGGTCCTGCTGGAGGAGCACTTGACTGGTGGGAGGTCACACAGGCTGCTTGGGCTGCTGCTTGCTCAGCTGGACTACAGTTCTGGGTTCTGTGTTGGGGGTAATATGGTCCTTGATTACTGGGCCTATGGTGGGGGGCCCAGAAGGTTGGAGGTCTTAGAACCACCTCAGATGCTCCATCCTCCATGAGCTTCTGCCTTTCTTAAAAATCCCTGTTGGGGGAGAACCTGAGGTCAGACCTCGGGCCCTTGGACCATCAGGCTTCTCACCTGTGAGACAGGAAGGCTTCACCCCAGCAGGGGCACAGTGGGGGAGGGTGCTGGGTTTGGGTCTCCGGAGGCTCAGAGGAAGGAACCTCAGCCTTGTGCCCTTTTCTAAGAGGAGGTTTTCTGTCCCGTGCCACCACTATCTTGCCCACAGCTCTGGGCAAACCTCACAGACCAGAACTAGGGTTGGCTTTGTGGCCCTAGGCAGATGGCTGCCCTCTCTGGACACAGGGTGCCTCTCCTGCCTTTGGGACCACAGCAGGGACTGGGTCTCGGGGGTCCCTGTACAAATCCCTCCTTAATTTCCCAGGGGTCTCGGGATAGTGGGAAGATTAGCACTACATACAGGCCAGGGTGGGGGCACAGGCAAGATGTTGGGGGCCAGGGGCTGTCCTCGGAGCCACCACCAGGTCCTCCACAGCCAGGCCACAGCTCCATGCAAGGCCCATGGGGCAAGACAGGTGGGGTCACCGGACATCCAGGCGCTGAGGTACATGTGGACGGTGGCCTGGGCACCACATACACCACACAGGGTGCCCACAGTGCCTATTTCATGCCGCTGCGCAGCACCTGGTTGGCCGCAATGAGCATGACGCTGATGATGAAGGCGATGGCAAAGGCGCAGATCAGACTCTTGCGCACACATGTCTGGCGGATCTGCTGGTTGGAGCAGGCTGCGGCCACCCACCAGGAGCGCCAGGGAGTGGAAAGAAGAGAACAGGAAGCAGTGGAATCAGGAGCTGCCAGCACTTCGGCGTGGGCTCAACCCACGAGGGGCACAGCGACAGGCTTGGGACAGGGTGGGAGGCCCTGAAGCCTCCCTGTGCCAACCCCGGGAGCGTCCCCCTGCTCAAACAGCCGAGCTGGCCCACGGCCCCGGGGCGGTAACTCACTCTCCACGTCCACGGGGCCCTCCTCCGCCGTGCCCAGGTGGCTCTCTTCCTCCGTCATGATGATGTTCTCTATGTCCTTCATGGACAAGTGCTCACAGAAGGTGTCGTAGAGCAGGCGCTTCAGCTCGTCCACGGTCAACTTCTGCATGTCGCACTTGGGTGGGGTTGGGGAGGGGTAGTGCTCTGGCCACCACTCTGCCAGTCCCCACCCAGCACCCCGTAGCCATGCGTGCAAACAGCAACAGACCTCCCGATTTCTCCACGGCCCCAGGGACTCCCTGACTGACAGCTGCTCTCCCGGGAGTTCTTCATCCGGGCACAAAACCCTGGGTGGTTACCGCCTTTACAGGGTGGGCCTAGCCATTGGCAGCCACAAGCCCTCCACGGTACGCACATCCCCAGTCTGAGCCAGCCGAGGCATACCTTCCAGAAGACGGTGTCGAAGTCGGTACCGTGGAACTTCTCTGGGATCCCCGAGGTGGAAAGCTTGGGTCCCAGGAGGGTCACAAACTCCTCAAAATCCACCTGGCCATCACCTAAGGTAGGCACAGGTCCAGTCAGTAGGTCAGGAGGAATCAGAGCCTGGGAAGGCAGCCCAAGGCCCAGAGAACCTGGGATGGAGCCCTGGCCCATTTTGGGCTTACCACATAGCTGGCCTCAGGCGGGTGCTCCCCCTCCCCGAGCCTCAAGTCAATCTAGGGGGCACCTAACATGCCCCTGGATGAGGTCCCACTGGGGAAAGTGGGAGAGCAGCAGGTGGGCCCCCAGTGGGGCCAGCACTGGGGAAGCCCTCCCAGGTCACTCAACCCTCCATGGCTCCCCAGCACCCAGCTGCTGATGAGGGTGGGCGTACGGCCTGGACATCCTCTCTGTCATACAGATAGGAAACAGAGCTGTCACTCGCCGTCTTGTGGAGACCACAAGTCGGGTAAAGCATAGGAGACTTGGCATCCCTGGTCCTTACCAGTTTTTCCAAAATGCTAGGTGGCAAATATAACTGATTTTCTTTTGGGTCATGGGGACTGGAATATTTATACCATTTATTTTATCCTTTATACTTTCCTATGCTTATTTTGTGGTACTAGGGATTGAACCCAGGGCCTTTGCACTTAGGCACCTCTCCAGACATTTTTATTATCATCATCTCATTATTATTTTGGTGTTTTTGAGACAGGGTGTCACTGTGTAGCCCAGGCTGGTCTTGAACTCACAGAGGTCTTCCTCCCTTGACCTCTTGAGTGCTGGGATTACAGGTGTGCACTACCATACCCAACATCACTTTTTATTTCCAACATTGTGAATCACATCCCCCCCCCAAGTACCAGGAATCAAACTCAGGATTTGCGAGGCAGGCAACAGCACCACTGAGCTAAATCCCCAGCCCTTTTATTTTAAATTTTGAGGCAGGGTCTAACTAATAAGCTAAATTGTCCAGGCAAGCCTGACCCTCCTGCCTCAGCTTCTCAGAGTGCTAAGATTACAGGTGTGCACCACCACAGCCGGCTTTCTGTTTTGTTTTCCTTGAGATACGGTCTTGCCATGTCATTCAAGTTGGCCTCAAACTCATAATCTTCCTGTCATAGTCTCCCAAGTACTGGGATTACAGGCACACGGCACCATCCCCGGCTATTCTTCCCCTACTTTAGTATGTTTCAGACCACAGAGTGACAGGAGCAGCCTTTTGACCCCAACATCTGGCTGGGGGCCTCAATTCTCCAGGCTGAGAAATGAGGCCACACTTACTTGGGCTTTGAGGCAGCTTGAAGTGGGGTGAGCAAGAGGCTCAAGGTGGACTCAGCCTCAGTAGCTCAGATCCCAGACCTCGCCCCACCCCGGGGTCCACGTGACAGGTGAGGAAACTGAGGCAGGGGCTCACCATCCATGTCCAGCCGCTGGATGATAACCTCCAGCTCCACTTCGTTGGGCATGTAGCCCAGGGAGCGCATGGCTGTGCCCAGCTCCTGCTTGGAGATGAAGCCATTGCCATCACGGTCAAACACCTTGAAGGCCTCGCGGATTTCTGTGGGGGGAACAGAGCAGGCTGGGACCTCAGCCTTGTCCCCAAACGGTCCCCCTTCCCAGACTCCCAGGATCTGAAAGTGCAACCCCGAGGCTGCAGATCCAGTGAGACAGTCATAGGGTGGTCCCAGGTGCACTCTTGCTGCTGCTTTCTGAGGACCCTGGGCAAGCTAGGCCGAACGCCAAGGTGTACTGGGCCTGAGGCAGTGACTAAGAGTGCCAGGCTCCCAAGCCTCTCCCAGCACGCTCACAACGACCCCGTGTGGTGGGTGTGAGTCCCCCCAGTCCCTCATCTCCGGGCTTCCAGCGCCCCCGGCTCCCTAACCCCAGCCAGCATTCACTAATGGTGGCAGCAGCGGCTGCAGCTAATGGGCCGACAGCTGATCACAGGCTGCCTCCCAGTTTGGGGGACGTAGAGGTGGGCTGGAAGGCCCCCGGCAGGCTCAGGCCAGATTGGATACAGGGGTCACCTGTTTATTCCCCAGTCCCTCATCTCCGGGCTTCCAGCGCCCCCGGCTCCCTAACCCCAGCCAGCATTCACTAATGGTGGCAGCAGCGGCTGCAGCTAATGGGCCGACAGCTGATCACAGGCTGCCTCCCAGTTTGGGGGACGTAGAGGTGGGCTGGAAGGCCCCCGGCAGGCTCAGGCCAGATTGGATACAGGGGTCACCTGTTTATTGTACAGAGGGGAACACTGAGGCCTGAGGGTCTGGGTGACTCAGGTGGGAGGAAACACCCTTAGCTGGGACCTTGGGACCAAGCAGCTCAGTGAGTGTTCCCGGGTTGCCTCGGTCTTATCCATAGAGAAGCGGGTAGAACGGCAAGGTGACGAAGATGGCTGGGAGCTGTCGAGGGGACCTGGCCTCTCTCCTCTGCCCCACCTTTGTTTCTGTATTGCTGCCCCTTAATTATCACAACTGTCCTGACCCCAGATAGCACCCCTTCTTGGGGGACAGATCTCAGCCCACCAGCTTCTGCTCCCTGGGGGGGACCTCAGGAGGGTCTGAGTGAGTCGAGTGCACGCGTGTGCGCACAGACACATGAAACACCCGAACTCTGGACTCCGAAACGGAGGCAGCCACACTGGCTGAGAAGGGGTCAGGGCTATTGCTACTGGCCAGGCTGGCCCAGGCCTCGACCTAGGGGCCTGTGGGTCTTAACACTGACCCTCCGCTCATCTCGGGAGGACACAGGAGCCGACCACAGCAAGGTGACGTGAGCAGAGGCCCCAACTCCTGACAGGCTTCACCCCATCTGCAGTCTGCATCCAAGTCTGGTCTGGAGGTCGCCGGGCCGCCCCTGAGCCGTCTGTGCCCCCTGGACCGATCTATCTGACACAGGG